GATGACCTCTAAATTGTTCGAGCAAACAAAATCCAAGGCAGCACACCCTAAAATCCATCTGCCAGCTCAGAAGACAACTACCTCCCACAGGTCATGTTCTTCTGGCTAGCATGTGACAAAGAAAGCTATCCTAATGGATGGTTGTGTCAGCCAACTTAGTTAATAGTCAGCCCCACCTGTTTTGATCACAGCCTTATACATGACAGGTGGCAAATACAGATGAAACACAGTAATGCCTAGCATCAGGCAAAGTTATTTTCATTAATGAATCTTTTATTAAACCCCACCAAGCCATAGACAATAATGGATACCGGAGTTACTCCCAAGGTAATTGGGTAACCTGGTTCTTCAGCAGATCATCCCGTCTCCAGGACAAGATGACAGTATTTTCAGTATCTCCATCTCGCATTGACTAAGCCTCTTTCAGAAGCTCATGTCTCATCCTTAACACTGCTGAAGAACTTCTGAACTCCAGGTAGTCCTCAACTTACAACTATTGTTTAGTGGTTAATTCAAAGTTACAACAGCACTGAAAAAAATGTGATTTATGACTGTCCTTTTTATGTCAATGACCACTGCAATATCCCCATGGTCAGGTGATAAAAATTTGGGTGCTTGGCAACCGGTATGTATTTATGAACAGTTTCACTATCTCGGGGTTGTATGATCACCATTTGCAACCTTCCCAGCTAACTTCTGACAAGAAGATTCACTTAAGAGCCCCATGATTCACTTAACAATGAAGTGACTTGCTTAACAACTGTGGCAAAATAATGTGATCAAATGAGGCACAACTCACTTAGCAACTATCTTGCTTAGGAGCAGAAATTTTGTGACCGTAAGTCAAAGACTGCCTGTAAAAGGGGGTGATGGTTGACCCTTTCTGCCTTAGTTTTAATACTATACTTTTTCCATGATAAATATTAAGTAACAATAGAATAGAATAGAATAGAATAGAATAGAATAGAATAGAATGGAATGGAATGGAATGGAATGGAATGGAATGGAATGGAATGGAATGGAAT